AAGCTCAATACTATATAACTTCTAGCACACTTGGCTTACTATTCTTGGCTCCAAAACTATGTGCCAAAATTGCTGATTTCGTGGTGCGTGCCTCTGGAAAACACATGTATTGTACGGAAAGAGTGAGCTGGAAATTAGTGAGCCGGAAAGACTGTGCTGACCAGAGGTGGAAGAAAGAATCAGTTTCTCTAATGTATCCTCTCGCGAAGAAGACAAGCAAACCATGACGATTACTTTGAAGAGCTACCGAACAATGGCAGGGAAGAATACTGACTCGTCTCAACAAGTTGCTCCAACTCCACCAGGTTTTTTTGTTAACCTTATTTTGAGATTTAGCAGAAATTTTGATAAATCCATGGTTTTGTGAAGATGTGAATGTACCGTTCTGCTTGTTGTTACATGTTTATTATGTATATATCGTTATGCTTGTTCTCAAGGACAAAGAATTGAAATGTTCTTTGATAGGAGACCCCAAATAACGATGTGAAGTACTCAGATTTCATAGAAAGAGACCTGAAATCCATCGCTTTGCTTGTTTTCCGAAGCACAAAGATTCAAAATTTATCACTTTGCTTGTTGCATATTGAGTCTGTTTGTGTACAACGATTTGATATGTATCCTTCTGCTTTTGCTATTTTGTTGTGAAGTGTACATAGATCCAATCTATTGTTTTAAGTGTTGCATGTTGATTAAGTTGTCATGTACATCATCGCATTGTTGGTCACAACGAAACCCTCACTAATCAGAAAAACAATCTTGAAAAGTTGATTGTTTATCTTACCCAATTAAGTCCAAGTCTAATACAATTCTCAATGATATCATTCTTTTCACTATCTAGGTTGTAAAAAACTGGAAAAAGAGAAGGAAGAAGCATCGTTGGCAGGGAATACAAATGATCCAGGGCAGATATATGAAAGCTTTAACTACACTGGGCTGATCATTTGCACCTAACTCATAGAACAACAGTCCTCGCATGAATATTAATTCTAAGAAAAATACACAAGCAAAACTCATAGAACAACAATCCTCGCATGAATATTAATTATAGTCCTCGCATGAATATTAATTCTAAGAAAAGTGCACAAGCAAAGCACACAGAACAACAGTCCTCGCATGAATATTAATTCTGAGAAAAAGATATAACAAAACTATAACAACGACCCTTTTGGTCTTTCTGTTTAAAGCTACTCAAACATATTTCATTATCATGCTATTTCATTATCAGACAAGTACTCTCAAAGAAACACTAACAGTGAAAAAGAGTAAACAGTTATACAATATCAAAAAAAAAAAAAGTAGTTGTGAAGGAATTAGAAAATAGTCGAATATGTTTTCATAGTCCACACTTGAGGATGAGTGCTTTGAGGGTAGCCGTAAGCAATTTTCTTCATTTAATAACTAATAATATACACACGATTTGATGACTGTAAGAGTATTGACAAAGAAGAAACTTGACATGAATGAATAACAATTCTTAGAATTTTTTAAGAAAAAACAATTCTTAAATCCCAAACACTTAAATAAAAGAAAGAAGAAAAGCTAGTTTAATCTAAACACTGAAAAATTAATAAGTGAAAGATGCATCATCTTCTTCTAGTTTGTAATAGATTGTAGCTTCGATCTTCAAATATATTCCACATATACTTTGTCGTCGTGTTCATTATAAGTCTTGGCATATCAAAGTAAAAAAAAAGGCAGCCGATGAGTGAGAGAAGTATACGTACGAGAAAAAAAATCATTGCCGAGAACACAAATATCAATCTACCGTCAATCCATTCAAGGGAACTCTTTGCTGGATGCTCCATCGATGTTGATTAGTTTTGTAACTATAACTATTATTATCAGTCATATATCATAACATCGAGTAAATACATACTTTTGATTTTGATTGGATCAAACATGTATTTTGATTGGATCAAATCATTAGGATTCTGTTATATTGCTTCATTATCTAGTTAATGCAAGCTTATAATTTAATGGAAACTTTTGGATTATAATGTCACATGGTTTTGCTACATCATTATCCACAATTTTCAAACATTATTGTGCATAACGTTGAAGTCTACTATTACTATTTTACTAGGCCAACAAAAAGAGCTAGATCAATAAAAATGAATCGATGTGAGAAGAAAACTAAGTCTATACTCGTCTTCTACATCCCAAACTAATAAAAGACTTGAAACCAATTTTTTTTTCTGCATCTATTATAATTTACTACATGTGTTGCATATATTTATTATTCCGTTTGTTTTCAAACATAAACATGTTGTACTTTACACATACTAGATCTTTTGGCCGCGCTACGCGCGGCTAATCTTTAAACAAAATTTCTAATCATATTGTTTGTATATAATATATTGTATAATTTAATTTAAAATTAAAACAAAAGAAATAGAATGTTAAACTAAATAGAATCATTGTAATTAATGTAAGCAAGAATTTCATAAGTAATACTAATAATGTAATTTTTTTTTACAAAATATAGATTTTTTAGTTTTTTTAACAGAACCCTCATTTTACTGTAACAATTACTGTAATATTTTAATCTGTAGTTTTATATTTTCTATCTTCAAAATATTGGTAGAAAATAATCACTATCAATATCTGAAAAATAAAGTATATTAAATGAGATGACTTTTATTAAAATTTAAAATGATATTATATAAATTTAAGATTGTATATATTTTGTTGTTATAAATAATATTTATTTATTCTATTTACTTACAAACTCAATGATATTAGTTTATCCTTGTTATCAATATTTTGAATACTAAACCGAACATTGACTTGACATTGCAATTAGGTCAATGGTCACTCCGGTCCAACTGGATTGTAAATTAAATTAAATTTTAAGTTAAGTATATATATATGTATAACTATTAACTTATTTTTATAAGACTTTTTATCATTTTTTGAAACTTAAATGATATAGAAATAAAATGAAAACTTTCAAAATAATATAAAATATAATGAAAAATAATTTATATAAATATATATTAAAAACAATACAGGACTTTTATGAACTTTTTAAAGGAAATTTGCATTTTAACTTGAATTTGGAAAAAAAAAATCAGGGTTTAATATCAAATTGGACCATCGATTTTAGCGAGTGACCGGTTCATAAATCGAATTTGTTGGTTTTTAGCACAACTCAAAATCGTTTAGAAGAGAGAGAGAGTCATGATTCAACCAGCCGGTTCCGGTTTTTTAAAACACTTCTTGCAATATGAACCAAATTGTTTGCATGGAATAGATTAAAATATAACTTATAACAAAGACATAGAAATATGTGTGACCACCATAATTATACATTTAAGAAAAAATAGCCATCTGAACTTGAGAAAGTGAATTTTTTTTTTTGTAAAAGGAAATGATAATCTAGTATATAAACTTTCACGGAATGAGCTTTCAGACTCAACTTGCATAATAATCTATATTTTATTACCAACTTATGTATTTAAATAACTTGTTAAAATAATAATAAACAAATATATGTGAATAACTTTTATGTCTTATAATATTCGGTTTTCTTTAGATCTAATATCCAATCATTATAAATATAAAAATCATTTTCATAACCTATGATAACGTCCATTCGCGGGATGAACACATCGCATTAAACTGAAAAAGCAAAAAAGTAGGAAGACAACAAAGAAACTGTTCTTCAAGAAAAAATCGAACTGGAACATCATTCCAAAGAGGACTAAGAAGAGTGAGGAGACAAACGTAAGGAATCCTTCCCATGTGAGCCATGGTAACCAATAAGCTGTATCAAAAACTACCATCATTGTCATTGCCTGTTGGAAAACAAAAACATGATTAAACAGTATAGTATAATATAATAATAAATACACAATGGTAATAACACTCAGTGAAACAGAGTATTAAACCTGGCGAAGTTTAAGCTCTTTCTCAGTAGCCAGAGAAACCGAGTTTGAGAAGAATACCAAACATGGAGAAAGCAAGAAAGAAGAATTAGCTTTAGTTTAACGTTAATGGCTAATACGTTTACTAAAGACATGTTAAAAAATACGTAAAAAGAAGAAGAAGTATTTACGGTGTTTTATCATTCAACGGACCCATAAAAGGATCATAGAACGCCATGAAAGCGAGGACCTAACAAAACCTATGTGGTTTGAGTTTGAGCCAAAACTCCTGAATTTTGCAAGCACAGAGGACAATTAGGGTTTCAATAATTTATTTGATTTTTGCCAGAGCTCAATCAGAGTTTTGAAAGTGAGAGAGTCCCTAGGAACCTTGAGTAAGCCGACTAAGGTTTTAGGGTTGAAAAAAAAAATGGTCTGTTTATAATTAATATAGTTACACCCACTTAAATATGAAAAAGAAACTGCTCTCGAAAAGGAAAGTCATAAAATCAATCCCATCAGTCCAATCTAAAAATAGAGAAGAAAAAAAATTCACAAGGGTGTCTATAGGGATCATGACCCCTTTACATCAATGACTAAGAGACGTAGTAGTAGTAGCTGAACATAACGGAAGTGATGATATTTAAGGGATTCACCTGGGATTTTATTTCTTATAACAAAACGCTTCTTGTTTGTGTTTGTTGTTTTCATATGTTAGATCCATTCTTTTACTTCTGCTTCTCCTCCACTTCTGTTTGGGAGGATGATGATCCTGAGTGGTGATTGTCCTTTAGCTTGGCTGGAACGACTTTAACAGGTGTTAACTGAACGCTCTGACTGAGAGGAGCGGATTAGGATCTTCATACAGAGAGTGATGATACATAAACCAAGTGCAGACAACACAATGCTTTTCCATGAGGAAAACAGATTTGACCAGTGTAAGAACTTCATTGCTCCAAGAGTTAGTAGACATGCCCATGATAGAACCACCTCGAAAAGTATAAAGAGATTTATGAGTTGTTACGGGATGGAGCCAAAGGGAGTGTTTTGAGGGGACTTACTGCAAGATCCTTTGGTTTTCGTTGTAGCAGTGATCAAGTGCTTGTGCAATATAGTCTGTGATTCGAAAATGCATTAGCGGCTGATTTCCCCTGCATACAAAGACATAAAAGGACAACAAAGAATCTAAAGACCAAAAATGGATCTCATAACATAAGAACATAAGGATCTTACAGTGAAAGAGATACTTGGAGAGTGTATCATTAACCATGTACTCTGCTACCAACAATCTCTCGTTGCCTTCTGCGCAATAACCAATAAAACTTACTAATCTCTTGTTTCTAAACTTCCCAACACCAGTTCCTTCCACCTGACTTCACAAGTCAATCAAGGTCAACACAAGAACAGTTTTCAGAGATTTACTAAATTTAATTACCTGCAATAATTCTCTGCTAAATCAACTAAGAAAACAGAGAAGCATAGTCGGATCTTATCATTTAAACGTAGCTTTACACCAAAAGTTACCAACTTTTCTCAGATTCCAACCGCAATCAGACACATAATTCCATATTATCTTTCAGAAAGATGATGTCTTTATTCCTTTCCGTAACTAATAGCAATTCAAATCATAAGAGTTGCCTCAACAAATGATCAGATGGTATATAAGATCCTACTTAAGAGGCCTGACAGGCGGAGATCATCAAAGGTGGCGTGGTGAAAATCAGGTTGAGCGGAAGTTGCACCAGAGGCAGACATCACAACCGATGAATAGAAGATTCTAGGGAAGAAAAACTCAAATTTTGTGAATGCGTTGTTGGATTATCAGCTCAGCCCTAAACTATTTATAGGGATCTGTCTATTCTTGGTTTTGAAACGCTTGACTTTTGATGTAAAGAGTAAAGAGGGGAGATGAGAGATAGGATATGATAAAGAGGTGAATGTTAATTGAGAAGATGGAGGAGTTCCAGTTCCTTTTCACGTGTTTCCATTGTCTGAAGCTTTTGTGTTACCTCAGCAACCCTAACCTGCGAGCACATAGAGATGTTCAGATATCAAACCGGAACTAACACTACGCTTTCAAAATGGAAAGGGAAGTAATATCCTACATACCTATAAGTTGGAACAGTACCTCACCTGTTTTGCTGCATCTGATGTTGAACTTTTTTTCTCTTAGCATCTCTCTACTGAATCTTCACTCAAGTATGTAAGCAATAACTGAAAAGTGGAAACATCTTTACCTTAGCCACAAACTGATCTCTGCACCACTGCAATTTCTTCTTCTGATTCAGGCAAGTCTTTCATCGAGTGACACTTGATATGAACATGCACCTGAAACCAGCAGCAATGGTTTGGACTTTGGAGAATGGTCGGAAGTTACAAAAAGCTTTGGGATGCAAATGAGTCCTATGATTTCTAACACATTATAAGGTGGCAATCCACAAAAGGCTAGATTCGTTTCAGATGCAGTGAAAAGAAAATGGATAGTAAAGTTAATATTGTGGAATTCTCGCTGTGAGGAGAGTGCAAAATGTAACTACTATATATTTTTACTTGCTCACCACAGAAGGCTTTCCTTTGAATAGTCTTAGCATCGTTGGAGGTGGAGAAGTTTTTGGAATAGCCACGGTAATATCATATATGGCTGGGACGAACGAACGCATATTACTAACAGCTGACACAAATCCCTGAAAATAGAATCACAACCAAAGTCTAGTAATTATAACATAACACATACAATATCTGTCCCACGCAATGAGATTTGGATCAATCATAGTAGTCATTTTGCTCGCTAAAGGTCACAGTAAAGAGATCAAGTTGCCGAAGGAATGGGGAAAAAAGAAAACAATAAAACTTACTTTGGGTGCGAGGAATATGCAGCTCAGAGGAGGCTGCGTACTCTTGTGCTGCTTTAAGTTTAGCGTCTATAAAGAGGGTTCTCTTCACAAAAAGAGCTAGCTAGAAAGGCCGTGGGAAGTCGTTGAGATTGTTGAAGACCTGACTGTAAATTTAAATGAACATACATAACTAATGATCTTGAAATGAGGATTTTTCATTGTTAATAAGCGTTTTACTCATGATCAAAACCAGATGAGTTGCACAAGAAGAATACAAACTCGTACCTTTAAAGTGCTTTCATCCTCTCCCCAATTTCTTTCTAGAAACATATACACCGAGAACCACATTGACCAGCCTATGACCTGTATGTGTGCGACAGTTCTATGTTTATGAAATCTCACCTCGCTTTCATGAGGCTCCAAGGTAACGTCTTTGAAGGTCATCAGCTCACAGCGTCGTCAGAGACGATAGCTTTTCCTCTAACGCCGGAGGAGACTGCGACCCTAACGCCAGTGGAGATCGCCGGGTTTGCTACTTGCTTTCATCGAACTTTGATTAGTGGGTAACGACATCACAATATCCAATAGAGAAGATACGACTAAATTCGGGAAAGCCGACTAAGGAATTTATATAGAGAAAAGAGAGATCAAATGGAGAAAAGAAATGAAGAGTCTATTGACGAGATTAGAGAAAAAAGTTCAGAGAAGAGTGAGATCAAAGGATACACGATTAGTCGAGGTGATATTAGGGTTTGAAGGAAACCGTAAAGGATTTTCGCGTGGATGAAGAAGACGATACGGGCTTTTAATAGTTAAAACCCAAACAATGTAAACACTTGATGATGTGGCAAAAGGTTATAATATGATTGGTAGAATATAATTGAGGACGTGGATAGTGTAAGAAGGGTTTATTAAGCCCTTTTAATAGTGTTAGATTAGAACACAATTTTGATAATAAATACATCATTTTATATAATTAACTATTTAAAAATAACTAATAATAAATCAATAAATACAATTACTTTTATCAAAACTTACAATTACTATTATTAGTTCATAATTATGTATAGAAATAAAAAAAATTCCAAAACATTTATTTTGTTAGAGACTAATATTTTATGATGTGTTATTCAAGTTGAAGACCATTGTGAGAGCACTCCATTGTTTTATAAGCTCTCCAACAACAACAAAGGAAACACAAGACAAAAGCCACTTCCATCCACTGGACTATCATTATTATCAAAAGACTAACCTAATGAAACAACAAGTCATAACAATCTTTAGGCATGGGTGTTCAAGGGGCGTCGGTTTCCATTCGGTTGATTCGAATTTTCGGTATTATGTTCATAAATTCTAATTGAGTTATATTAAATATCGGACCGTGTTTCATTTGGTTTCTTCAGTGTACGGTTTGGTTCAGATCGGAATGTAACCAGAAATCGTCCAAAAATATTTAAAAAACAAAACTGAAAAATCGATAACTTTTTTTCAAAATATATAAATTATTCAAAAATCTAATTAAAATTAGTTAAACTATCTAAACCAACTAAAAAAATTCAAAATAGCAAATGAAACAAACTACAAAAATCTTCCGATTATTATAAAATATCTAAATTACCTTAAAATATATAAATACATTAATCGGATATTTTTGTATTCTATTTCAGCTTTCAGTTTGATTCAGTTATGCCTAAACCCCAAAATACTAAGTTTATAAGTCCATTTGGATATGTTTGTATAACGGTTTAGATACGATTTCGATTTCTTCGGTTTGGGATAAAACGCCCAGCCCTAACAATATTTCAAAGATTTAGCACTAAGAAACAGTTAGCAAAAAATTCCTAGGAAAATGAAAATGCTCTAACAAGTTTTTCATCTTTGGAGTCTACTGTTCAATTGAGCTGCAATTTGGCATAGTGATTTGCTGCTCTAGATAACGACTGTATGGATACTTGATAACCCTTTCTCATCTGATCTGCAGAGAGAATTATAAAGCAGTTTACTTTACGCTTCTAAACATGTTTCAAAAAGGAGACACTGGGTTTGATTCGAATGAACAAACAACTTCATTGGTGTTCAAAGAAAAAAAAAATAGAACAAACAACTTCATTATTATTACTTTTTGACGACCAAACAACTTCATTAAAGCTGAGGTTTAAGAGGATTCTGATCAAAATTAAAGCTTTCTCTCTAAAATTACATAACCTTAGGGACTGAAGATGTAACAATTAATATAATGCCCCATTCTTTGGTTTCCCACAATAGTTCTGTAAATTGAACGTTCGGTAAGATTCATTGATTTTCTTACATTAGCTTTACAAGCTATAATAAACAACAGAGATAATAAGAGTGTGGGTTTTGTGGAAAGAAAAAAAAAGGGGCTAAACTGTCCCAACAGCAGCTCGAATATGTCTTCAGCATTTGGGAGAGTTGTTCCTCCAAGCCAATGTCCCCGTCTTCCGCAGAGCTTCCATATATAACCTCGACAATGAAATGGAGACAGTTATAACAAAGATAAGGCTTAAGACATAAATTAGTCTGCGAGACTCGGTTTTGGCCTGCAATCGTGTTGTGAATGTGTATCTCATGGGACCGGATGTGGAAATGGTTAACTAATCGTCCAAATCGGCTTTTGAAAAGCCTTCCTACAGTTGAGGAATATTGGTATTATAAACCGGGGTATACTCGTCTTTCCTCAACACCTTTGTTATAAGCCTGTAGAGTAGCCCGAAAGCTGCTCTCTGAAGCTAATGAGCCTTCTCTTAGTGGTAGGTAGATCGTTGTTTTTAGACTGGATAACTTGTGGAGAAACCTAAATAAGCTGTCTGACTCTTGGAGCCATTTCTTCACCAGTACACTTCCACCTTTCTTCTCCTATTAATCATGGCCTCTAAGCAAGGCGTTCCTCTAAAACACTCATCAGTAGCAGCACGAGATATCCCTTTAGTAGTTCCGTCCGGTTGATGGTAGATTTCTTGTCATCTTGTGGATCAGAAGTGTATGAATCCCAGCCACGTAAAAACGCTTCAACTCCCTTCATGGAGACCAGAATCCTCTTGATCTTGCTTGGTCCTTCATTTAACAGGCGGCACTTGAACATAAGAGAAGGACGATTGATGCTTGGAACCCCAACAGTCACGAGTAATGATAAATTGATAAGTCAGATAGATTATGATGTTCTATAGAATAAAGAAATGAGAGCAAAGATAGAGTTAAAGATGAGTACCTCTGCAATAGAAGTGAATATTGTGCAGCTGTGAACACCTTCCTGGGCGCTTAGACACCACAGCATATATATAGATGAGCATCTTTGAGAAGCCGTGAGATGTCCTAATAACAATTAGGAGGAAAAACGGCATCAACAGTCACATACAAAGCCCTTAACCAGCACTCTTAAACGGCATCTCTATCTGCACAAACACAAACGTTGAGGACTCCATCCAATATACTCTCATCATATGTACTTAGCATCTCACAGGAACACACAAATTAGCAGAGAAGAGATCCTAAGACTCGGGTAAGGTTCAAGATTTAGATGCAGCAGATCAAAAATATACACAAGAGAACAAGAGACTTCCTCCACACTTACTTCGCGGATTTGAACAGAGGCAAGATATTGCGAGCCATGTCTCTCAGCTAAGTTAATCGCTAATGGATACAGTTGGTCGAGATGGATTGAGATTGGAAATTCATGCAAATACAATGACATGTATTTGTCTGAACCAGACTAACGCCTCAAGTGCTGGAGAAACAGCGGTCATCGTAGCTTTGTTGGGCTTTTACTTCTCTGTGAGTTTACTTATTTGAAGGGCACATCCCTCTCTTAAGCTCATTAGATCATGATTATTGCAGGTCTCTTAAGCAGGGTCCCTTAGCGTACAGTCCCTTAACGTTTTCAGTTAAAAGCTAAGGGACTGTACGCTAAGGGACCTGCTTAGATGTATGACCAGTTTAAAATCATCTATATGTGTGTGTGATGAAAGAAACCCAAACTTAACTTTTTATACTGATAATATGTTTAGTGTTTCATCAACCAAACATTCAAACGGTCTATCTTTCTTACATGAGAAAACATTATTCTTTTGAAAAGTTACGACATTACATCAAAGCACTGATTGTTATTACCACACTGTCCTTAAAGAAAAGTGAAACTGCGGTTAAGTTTTGTTTGTCTTGAGGACTTGATGATCACTTCTTACCACGGAGTTTAGCTCCGAGTGCTCTCTCAAGCTTAGAAAGGATCTGCTGGTTGGGGATTGCCTTACCAGACTCGTACTCTTGGATCACTTGAGGCTTCTCATTGATGATCTACAAAAACAAAGAAACAAGCTTTATGTCATGAACTGAGTAGTAATAAGAAGAAGAGATAGATACATAGAGAGAGAGAGAGAGATAAGGGGATAAAAATACTTGAGCAAGCTGGGACTGTGTAAGCTTCTTGTCAGTTCGGGCTTGCATAATGGCTTTCTTTAGCTCAGTAGGCACACGCTCATCTATAATCACAGTGGTAAAGAAACCCCATTACATGTAGCCTTAATTACTCATCATATGAATAAAAAAGCATCATAGAATCAGGGGCCATAGAGAAGCTCTGTCTCTCTATGATTACAACTCGTCATTACACAGACACTAACGAATAAAAAGAGTTTCTCCTCTATAACCATCATAGATTCAGACCATTATGATTCCATTTTGCCAGTACACAAACACTGATAGACCTCAACAAACTCTACTGAATCAAGAAAAGAAAACACATTTGCCAACATAATAAAAACAGAGCTCGAGACTATCATTTTCTTGAAACTAGTGAAAGCAAAACTAACAATCATAAAGTATTTTCTTTTGTGCACCAACAATCATAAAGTATAAAGCAGGTGATGAGAGTAAAAGAGACATACGAGCAAGGTTCTCAGTGTCGTCATCAAGCCTCTTTGTGTTGAGAGAAGTGCCGCTTGATGCTGCCTTGTTGGTTCCAGCATTGTCTAAAACCCAACACACACAAGAAAGAACACAGTTAGATAAAATCCATATCCCGAATTAAAAACATAAATCAAAGCCAATACATATCCACTTGAAGCAAATACTTTTATCAACCCTAAATACATCTCTTGCCAATAAATTACAATAACACCGAGGTTGAGAATTTCTAATCACAATTTAAGTACCATACAGAGCTCTAAATCTAAAATCAGCGAGGAATGAAGAAACGGTTAATAAAAAAGGAGATGTGGAAAAGAGGAAACAAACATTTTCTAACGGATTCAATATCGGCGCCGGATCGACGAGCGGCGTTGACGGTTTTCTCGTCGCGTTTGGCGGCGGAGTTAGGGGCTTTCTTCCGGATAACCACCGGCTCCCAATCTTGTGTTATGGGTCCAATTCCTGCCATGATTTCGTCTTCTTTCGAGCTTGATAAAATCTAGGGTTTCGTCTCAAGAGATATTAGGTGAATCAGATTCTTTTTTCTTATGAGATTAGCTTTGGATGATTAATATATAGAGAAGAATAAAAAGAGAACCGTGCGTGAGCTCCAAGCTAATTGTTTTTTTTTTTTTAAGGAAAATGTTATTTAATTTTTCTCCGACATATAGCTTTTGTAAAATTACATAACAACCTATGGAACTTTTTCGACTATTTAATTTTCGTAAGGCTATTTACGTAAATGTATTATCCCACCTGACAAGAATGTTTTCTAAGGGCTATTTTACATTCTTAATTATTTTACTGATAAACAAAAGTAAAAAAGCTAGATTTATTACTTACTAGTGGTCCGTCCGCGCTGCGCGCGGATTATCGGATATTTGTATTATTTAAAAAATTTAAATTATTTCTTGGTTTGTAATGTAATATTTTTATTGTGTTTTGTTTCTGAGAATGGTCTATTATGATATCAATGTGATGACATTAGGGTTAAATGGTGGACATTTTAAAATTATTTTAAAATTCTTGAGTCATAGATGTTCTTTTTTTTGTTTGACAAATTTTATTTTTTTCAGGATCAGAGATAATAGCTATGAGAATATTTTTCATAAAAAATTATTTGAAAACAAAGTCTAACAATTTATTCTAAAAGTAAAATTAAACAGAACCTTTGGAAGAAATTGAAGAGGAACATAAATGTTCAACTTACACTGAGAAACAAAACAAATAAATCAAAAGTGGAAGGAGTACATCATCATGTTAATGGTAAGCACGTTTCCCGTATAGGCCTTCTTTTAGTTAAGGTGATCACTGAAGCCCATTATCCTTTTGTAGAACTCGGTTACCAAAAAGAAGTGGAAACAGTTGGAGCAAACCGTGATCTCTGTCTCCTGTTGAGGATGGCAGTTCTGGGGTGGCCACATTTTTTTTAGTGAGGTAAGACATATATTCTTCATGTGAAATTGGAGGTGCTCAAGAGATTGATGAAAAATCGCCATACAATCTTCTAGTACTGGAATACCTTGCTCATCAGTGAGTTGTTAATGTTTTTAACCCCTAAGTCAGTTTCGCCGATGGCCATAAGGAGGACGCCGTAAACGTACCTTCCTCGGAGGTGACCACCATTTGAGGCAATGTGGATGTGATGTAGACCTAGGGACTGATTTCGAGTTTCGAAGAATTCTAGCATGCCTTTAACATAGTGAGCGCCAACATTGTTCGCGTTGAGGCAGTTTTGCACCAACTTTTGTTACCGATGAGCTAGAGCAAGCTTCTTCACCAAAGGTGAGAGGTTGAGATCCTTTGCAACACAGAAGTTCTCAGAACTGAAACTGAGGGTTTTGGATGTCATAATTGTGTTGAAGTAGTCGGTGGGGGGGGGGTCATAGCCTACTTTGGAAAAAATTAGGAGACGGGGGTTCATAGCCTACTTTGGAAACAATTAGGAGACCCATGTCTTCGGGCATGAATTCAAGGGTGAGGGTATTATGTTGTTTTGGATTCATGAAACTCATCGGAAAATGATCGAAGTTTTTTTTTGTTTATTCTAACGCTGTCCTTATTAGTTTATTTGTGTTGTGCACTTGTTTATATAGGACGTTGGACACGGTGTTGATTGTAACGTCGTTTACGTTTTTAAATATAATTATTGGAAGCCATAATTTTGCATTGAATTTCTTTGCGGTTTGATTGTTATTATTTATGTTGTACCGTTGCATGTATGCTGAGTGGGTTGATGTGTAATTTATGGTTATTAAAAATTAACTGACCGGATTTCCTTGTGCTTTTGCTTGGTTTTAATACTTATAATATAATTTGAAAGGTAATTTATATGTGGGTATCGAATAAAACTTTTTTGGTTTGCTTGACATTAGATAAGTTTGTATTTGTTGCAAACGCCATAGATTTGTGGAATAATTTTAAAATTATTTTGAGGGTTTGATTTACCTTTTTAGGTATTTATTATCATTATCGGTAATATATGTGTCTGTAACGTGGCATTGAACGTAAAAAAAACTTCAAATTGCTTTAATTTTGGTTTTATAGATGATTTATGCCATTATTTGCTGTGTTTCCGTTTTAACAACAAAAACTTAAAAAAAAAATTTGAGCATCTACCAGAAAAAATAGCCAGCCCAACAACAACCACAAAACCGACAAACAAAAAACCAATTGAAACCGAAATGGGAGAGATAAATTTTGTTTGGTCTATTTGGTTTAGGTTATTGCTGACATGGCTTTTTTTGCCCCTCTCACAAATGCTGATGTGGATGCATGAGAAGGGAGAGAAGCCTACTTTATTGTATAAGATTTGTTTTATCAAAAGAAATAGGTGCCACTGTAATTAAAGCTAGATTTATTACTTATTATAGCATGTTTATTGGGGTGTTAAGTGTGGCTCTTAATGTAATCTAAACTATTAAAAGAAAAGTATATAAAAAAACTAACTCTTGATTTTTCTTTAAAATTACAATAGGTGCTACTGTAATTAAATTCAGTATAGATTTACGGTTTACTAATTTTAAATCAAAATAAAACTGTTCAATTCAATTTTAAAAATGACCTCTGATAATAAAATTTCTAGAGCTCTTATTTTTTTGTGAACTTTTTAAAATTGTTGCTGTTTAAATAAATTTTAAAAAAATATCTATAAAATTTAATTTCAAATTCTAATTTCAGTTAATAGTATAATTTAATTAAACACATACAATCTAAACAAAAACTCTACTATCTTACACTTAATTGTTTAGTTTACCAAGTAAAAAAAACTATGATATCAAAAAAAATACAATTTGATAGTTAGAAAAAAGACACTAAACAAAATAAAAAAGATATACCAACATCATAACCCAATAACCTATAAAACATAAATATGGATGTTTTTTTACAGCTAATACAAACATATATTTATACACAATATACCTCTGCGCGGACGCGCGGGTCAAAAGCTAGTAAATAGTTAAATTAAAAAGAAAATAATCAATTACTTAAGAGGTGAGTCTTAACTAAGCGCTGAAAAAGATGCTTCTTGTGGGACGCGTGTTGACCGGGCACAGGATAGGTGTTTTGAGAGGAAAAGAAAAGTTGAACCCGCCGAAGAATCTGGTCCTTTCTCTCCTTGACAAAGACTTGAGGAGGTCGCATGGAGAAAGAATCTCGTCGGTGGTTCTCGTCGATGTCTGAGCAGTGGTGTCTCTCGTTGACAAAGAATCTCGGTTACTCTCCTCGACGAATAATATTGGTGGCTCTCCTCGTTGAATCTCGGTGGCTCCCCTTGACGAATCCCGGTGGCTCTCCTCGAAGAATCTCGGTGGCTATCTTCAAAGGAAAAAATTTTGTGGCTCTCTCCGAAGAAGAAAATTGGTGGTTGCTGCTGAATGCAATCGAAAGGTAAACTCACTTTTTTCTTAATTTCTCATCTTTGCATGTCTTTGATTTTGCTCCTTTCGTGTTCTTTACGATTGTTTTCTCCGTTTATTTCATTCTCGTTTCTGATAATGAGATGTTGAAGGAGAGCTTTCCATCATTGTTTGACTGAATCTAAAAACTTCCTTGCAGTGATCACCATGTCTAAAACTTAATGTTCGACCATGGATTAGTAAACTTGGTGTGATGTTCTAGATTCTTGAGAATGAAGAAATTTTTTGATCAATTTAGTATATATATACCATCGATTTTGATCAAGACAACAACTGAGCTTGGACATGATCAAGACAACAACTGAGATTGGATGTCTCTTTGAAATTATTATCTTTTATTTTAGTAATCTTTGTTTTTATATTTTTATATTTTTATTTTAAAATCTATGTTTAAAATGTTATCTTTGACTATGTTTTATTTAATAAATAATTTTGATCTTCAGTAAAATAATGTTTAATAAGTTTTTTTTTAAGAACCCTTAATTAAAAAACTACCATTGGAGCACTAATATTAGGTGATTCTTAACAAAACTTCTTAACTTAATTTTACTACTTAAATATTCGCTAAGAACACACTTGGGAGTTGCACCAATAAACATACTCTTACTTCTCACCTCTTCTTTTTCATGTTCAAAGAAACAAGCGCATAGTCGTTTAGACGCTAGGCACCATTCATCCACTATAAGTTATGTCAAATCGATCTAAAAAATCGGATGTTTGATTTTAATATGTTTAGGTCACCTAGATGACCATTTAACCATCTAAGTGACATCCTAATCTATTTTTTAAATAATATATTTTTATATATTTATGTGATCTAAAATTTGATAAATATAATTTATATTCATATTTTTTATGAAAACTACATCATATTAAGTTCATATATTTTATTTGTGTGTTTTATTTGATTCTAAACATAAAAATGTATAAATGTTACGCACAATTAAAGATTAACATGTTTTATAACATTAAACAATATAAAGATCCCACCCCGCATAACTTTCGACTAATCTCCGATTTTTTCTCCATGCGCTAGGTGCAACCCGACAGCTCAATTAGCGCCTCGCGATTGATCAGACTTTTACTATCAATTGATCATGTTCCTTCCGCGACGGCTCAGTTCAGGTTCTTCTTCATATACTTTTTTGGAGTCAATGTTGTTTTGATTGTCTTTGTTTGCGTTGTGACTGCTGGTTTAACTCTGCTTGTTAATAATTTGGTTATCTGACAAAACTATTCGTCCGGTTTGATCTGTACTGAATCAGATTTACATGTCTTTTTTTTTTGTGATTCTAAAGGATAATGAATGATATAAAATGCTATGCTGAGAATGAAGATATATACTTCAATTGTAAGTTAGTATTCATATTCAAACTGTGTTTGTTTATATTTTTTTTCGCTTCTAGGTAAAGATGCTTGTATGTTGTAGAAGAATGAGATGGATATCTCTCATAAAGTTTTAGTATATCACTTGTGTTAAGAAAAGCCAGACCAACTCTTTTCCTCTGTATCATCCATTCAGAGGTTTGGATCCCCTTTTTCACCAGAAAAGGGGATACAACTTGTGAGCATGGGGTTTGTAGGAGTTAGGGTTCAGAATATCATGCCTTACTTTGCTCAGAGGTTTTACAACACTTGCAACTTCTCATTCTCTTCAGACGAGGCTCTGCA